CCTGTGCCAGCGCCTCAGCACCCTCCCAGGGAAGAGCTTCTGCCTCAGAGCTCATCTCAATCTCCCCTCTGGCAGGTTAAACCCATTCCCCTTGGCCTGTCCCTACAGGCCTCTGTCCAAAGCCCCTGTCCAGGTTTCTTGTAGCCCCTTTAGGCACTGGAGCTGCTCCCCTAACATCTCCCCTTAAGGAGCCTTCTCTGCTCCAGGCTGACCCAGCCCATCTCTCTCAGGCTAGTTCCAGAGCAGAGCTGTTCCAGCTGTCGGAACATCTTCATGGCCCTCTTCTGGACTTATATATATATTTATATATTTGTATATGTGTGTGTGTATGTGTGTGTATATATATGTGTATATATATACACAAATAAAACTCCAGACAATTTCAGACTATAATTGGTACAATAGTTAGGGAATTATATTTTCCTAACACCCAGGGTGCCCATGGTCCCCGAGGTGCTCTGGTCCCTCCAGCCCTCTGCCAAGGAAGGGCTGCCCTGCGCTGCTGCCAAGACCTGCAGGGGCTTAAAGCCCCGTGGGCACAGGCTTGGTGCCCATCGCTTCCCCGGTGTGCCCTTGCAGGAAGATGCTGCGGCTGTGTGGGGAGGCAGAGGACAAACTGGCTCAGGAGCTCATCCACTTCGAGTTGCAGGTGGAGAGGGATGTCATCGAGCCCCTCTTCATGCTGGCTGAGGTGAGCAGTGGTCAGGGATGTCCCTGTGTCGGGTGACGCTGTGCCGGGGGCTCACATCCCAACCAGCCTGTGGGAGAACCAGGACTCATGGCTTTGGCAGCGTATTTGGTTCCTGGCCCCTGTGAAAGACTTTCCCCTTTGATGCTCTCTAATGCTTTACTGTGGGGCAGTGTTTGCATGTGCAGCAGGGCTGGGCAATGGTCCTGCTGGGCTCCTTTGCTTGTTCTCGCTGCTTATGGTTTTTTCTGCCATTCCCAAAAGGCAGAGCATTAACACTTACTCCTCACTCATTTTTCTCAGTTCCAAACACATACTGTTGTTGTTCAGGGGAGTTTTTTTCTGGCTTCCCCACTGCTGTCAACTTTGTCTTTCAGTTTTACCCAGTGTGGTTTTTTTTCCCTTTTACATCTAGCAGAATGTCCTTGACTTGGCTTGGATTTTATCTCCCTCAGCAGAAACAAGAGCTCTGTCACACTGCTGCTGTCTGGGGCCTTCAACCACTAGCAGATCCTTTGGCAAGCCATGCCTGTGCATGGCAGGCTTTGCATTGCCACCCCCAAAAGCCCTTTTCCTGCCTTCATCCTGCTTCCCAGTGCAGGAATCTTTGATCCCCAAGGATGCTCCTCTCAGGGGTGTGGGTTCTGCAGCAGGGCTGTCAGGGAGTGGCACAGCCCGGCTGGGGACATGGAGGAGGGACAAGCTGTGCCATCTCCCTAATGATGTTAAAATAAGGAGCTGCATCCTTATCGCCCAGCTTGTACCACCCCAGCTCCAGCATTGCAGTCAGGCGTGACCTGTCCCCAGCACCTCTCTGGGGACATTTATCTCCTCCCATTCCTTTGTGTTGCTGCAGGTGGAAATCCCGAATATCCAAAAGCAGAGGAAGCACTTGGCAAAGCTCGTGCTGGATATGGACTCCTCCAGGACAAGGTAGGAAGCGGCTTCAAAACTGCTTTATAAAAACTAAAAATAACCAAGTCATGGGTATTTTTACCAGTGCCAGGCAAGGCCATGTCACTGTGTGCCTTGAAGTCAAGCTCTGCAATGAGCCATGGTTTGCTCTTGTCTGCAGGATCCATAGATCACGTTTCCTCACGTGCCCTCTGCAGAAAAGAGTATTTTTTCCTGGCACAAATCTTTGGTTTTTCCTCTTTTCCCTATCTTGATAAGTTCTTACATAATGGCAAAGAGTTGGGTGTTCCTACCACTGTAGAGTACTGCTGGGGTGGAGCAGGGATGACCCTTCAGGTTGTCCTGTGTCTCAGACACAGGCTGCTCTTTGGGTTTTGCCTGGGAACATGGGCATGGCGGACCCTGGGGAGAAGTCTGGGAGGTGTCTGTAATCCCCAGTGTCATGTCCAGGCTCTCCCATTGCCTTCCCCTCTGCTCCTGTCTGGATGAGATGCGTCCTTCTTCTGAAAATGGTTGTGTAAAGAGAGCCCAGTGCTTGCAGCCGGTTGTGGGGACTGGGGATGTTTGGGGTTGGGAGTAGATGCTGCATTCCAGTCCAAGTTGGACCATGTTCATGATGCTCAGCACTGGGGACAATGGTGGGCTTGGCTGAGGGGGAGTCCCTGGACTGCCCTCTGAGTCTGCTGGGATCCAGCCGGCCTCTTTTGGGTCCCTGTTCCTGCCTGTGACAGCTCTGCCCCCTCCACAGGTGGCAGCAGTCCGCCAAGTCCTCAGGTTTGGCCAGCAACCTGCAGCCCTCGGGTGCCAAAGCTGATGCTCTCAGGGAGGAGATGGAGGAGGCGGCCAACAGAGTGGAGATCTGCCGGGTACCTGGGGGATTGCTCCTTGCTGGCATGGGGGGACCTTGGCATCCTGAGCACCAAGGAAGAGCCTTCAGCGTCTCTTCTTATCCCATTCTTCACCCTCTTCTTATCATGTTGCCCATGATAAGCCCTTCTCTGGCCTGTCCCCATCGCAAAAAGCAGCCTGGAGGCAGTGGGTGATGCTCAACAGCCAAGCAGGACATCTCTGGTTCCTCTGTCCCCATGCTCCATATCATGCTGGAGTCAGAGAGCATCCCATTCCCACAGGACCCATCCCAGCAGGAGCCACTGAGCTCAGCACTGAGTATGCCCAGTCCTGGCACAGAGACTTGCGAGAAGTGCCAGCGCATTCCAAGCCCACATGTGCCACCTGGCCATGTCACCCCCCACCATCCCGTAGGAGCACGCCCCCCCCACTGGACATTAAGGGTGGGAAAAGTGTCCAAGCCAGAGGGGACACTGCCGCCAGAGCCTTTGTCACAGGCTTCAGGATTCAGCAATAAAACTCACAGACAATTTTGTGTGGCTTTAAATTCCCCCAGGGCAGAAAATGCAAAGGCCCAGGCAAAGCTCGTGCTTTGATGTTGGGCAGGAGATGGAGCTGGGTGCATGTCTCAAACCTGGCTCTTTCCTCCAGTGGCACAACCAGAACCCGCGCAGCCTTTCAAACAAATCCAGCCCCAAAACGGTGCCATCTCCCCCATCTTAGAGCATCGCAGCCCCACGCACCCACCAATTTTCAGCAAACCAGCTCAGCCAGGTGCTGCCCTGCAGTATATTGGCTGCACTGATGGTGGATGTTGCAGCTGGGATGCGCTTGCAGTGTTTTAAAACCCTGGTGGTTCTCCTCCAGCTGAGTGAACCAAGGGGATTCTCAGAAAAGAGCAATTCAGGAAGTGGCAAATCTTTTTTGTGAGCGTGAGGACAGAGAGACTCATGTCCTGGTGCCGAGGGGCTCATTGCAGTGCAGAGCAAGAAGAACCTGATGCCTCATCAGTCTGGTCCACGCCGAGTGGTTGGGATGCTACCGGTGGCAGTGCACACTGCTCCACTGCACAGCAATTAGCCCTGGGGTTAATGAGCTACTTGCATGTGAGGAGCAATATAGTGAGGTTGTGGGACAAGCAAACTTGAGGTTTAATTTGTGCCATTCAGACCGCCAGGATGTGCATCCTCTGGGTGACAGGTTGTCCCCAAGTGAGTGTCATACAGGGAGCTCCTTGCAAGGTGCTGGCTCCTTGTGGGCTCTGGAAGGAAGACAAGGGAGGTTAAGGATGGGCAGAGAGCAAACCTCCATGCTGCTGCCGTGTATTCATCATGGCAAGCACATCTCGAGTGGGTGCTGCAGCGTGCCACATTGCATGTTGGCTCCTGGTGTGACCAAGCTGTTCCCTCCTGGTGGCCTCCAAAAGGGCCATCGTGGTGGCATGAGGGCAGCATAAGTGGGACAGCAACTAATTCTCTGCTCTCCATAGGACCAGCTCTCGGCTGACATGTACAATTTTGTGGCCAAAGAAGTAGACTATGCAAACTATTTCCAAACGGTAAGTGCCACCCATCCTGTGGGACTGCTGCAGCCCGGCTGCAGGGTGACAGCCGCTGCTGTGTCCCCGCAGCTGATCGAGGTGCAGGCTGAGTACCACCGGAAATCCCTAGTGCTTCTGCAGAGCGTTCTGCCTCAGATTAAAGCCCAGCAGGGTAAGTGCCTGCAGGGCCTGTCCCCTCCTGCACACAACACCAAGGGCTCTGCCTCACACCAGAGCCATGTCATGAGCCAGCTGCAGCGTGACCCTCCAGCGTGGCACCTGAGCATCCTCCCTTTGATCCACCTGCATCCCACCTGCCTCAGCATGGGGGAGGGCTTCCTTTCATCATCCCACTTGGTTGTGGGGGCCAGGATCCAGACAGCTTCATGAGGAGGGGAAAAGGGAAACTTGCCCAACTATCCCCATCAAGCGCAGCACCAGAGGTGGGAACCCAGTGCCAAGGGGGGGTCCTGGGGCTGCGCCTTGCAGTGTGAAACCTTCAAAGGAGCTGGGCTGGGAGACCGAGGTCAGGGAGAGCCCAGTGTGGTGGCCCCAGGAGCAGCACATTCCCTGGGGCAGGGCTTGGGGTGCTGCCACTGCTGCAGCAAGGCAGGGAGTGATTTGTATTTTATTTTCTTTCTCTTGATCCTGCAAAATATTCCTGCCTCAAACTGTGATGGAAGAAGGGGGGAAAATACTGCAAAGGTTTGCCTGTGGTTGTTCCCCCTGGAAAACATTATCCAGCCCCTTTGAAATGTCCCATGTGATGATTGGAAAACATTTTGTTTGGATTTCATCTTTAAAAAGCACTTCCTGAGCCGCCCAGGACAGAGGTGCGGGGTCCTATTGTTATAGCAACACCCAAATGGAATATTTTGCTGCTGAAATGCTGTGATCCAAGGGCCTTTCAGGGAGGGGATGCTGTATCTGGCATCATCCCCACCATGTCCTCTCCCACTTCTCTCACCCCCTCTGCCCATCACAGAGGCATGGATGGAAAAGCCCTCCTTTGGGAAGCCCTTGGAGGACCACCTGGCCATCAGTGGGCGGGAGATCGCCTTCCCTGTGGAGGCATGTGTGACGATGCTACTGGAGTGCGGCATGCAGGAGGAGGTGGGTCCCATGTCCTACCACCCTCGGTTGGGCATGATGGAAGGGGACATGGGAGCTTCCAAGGCAAGGACAAGGAACCAGGGGGTTTGAGGGACATTCCCCTGCCCAAAGCTTGTCCAACACTCTCCTGTGTCCTCTGTGAAGGGTCTTTTCCGAGTGGCTCCCTCGGCCTCCAAGCTGAAGAAGCTCAAAGCTGCCCTGGACTGCTGTGTGGTAGATGTACAGGAGTACTCGGCCGACCCACATGCCATCGCAGGTAGATGCTGCCTTGGGGCGGGGGGTTGGTGCTGTGCAGGGTGGCCTATCCAGCCCCCAGACACCAACTGTGGACACCCAGAGAGTGATCATCAGGGGCACAATGTCTACTTGGAGGCCAATAACCAGTGGCATAGGCAATGGGTATAATCCTGGTTGACACCATCATTAACAATGTGGACAATGGGATCGGGCAGGGTGGACCCTCCACAAGTTGGTAGATGACACCAAACAGCGGTGTGCTGCTGTTCAGAGGGACTTGGGCACACTGGAGAGGTGGTCTGAGAGAGACCTGGTAAAGTGCAGTTAAGGGGAAATGCCAAGTCCTGCCCCTGGGGAAGAGCAGCCCCAGGCACCAGGACATGCTGGAGCTGCCCAGCTGGAAAGTGTCTTGACAGAGATGGCCCTGGAGATCCTGGAGGCCACCAAGCTGAGCAGGAGCCAGCAACGTGCTCTTGTGGCACACTGAAGGTGAATGGTGTTCTGGGCTGCACTGGTAGGTGTGATACCAGCAGGTGAAGGGTCTTTCCAGTTCAGGACACTACAGGAGAGAAATGGACATAGTGGAGAGAGCTCAGTGAAAGGCTGTGAAGATCTGAAGAGCCTGGAACATCTCTTCTGGGAGGAAAGGCTGAAGGAGCTGGGACTGTTCAGCCTAGTGAGAAAGCTCAGGGAGATCTCATCAATGGATGTAAATACCTGCAGGATGAGTGCAAAGAAGGCAGAGCTCTTTCAAATGGTGTCCAGTTCCAGGACAATGGGCACAAACAGGAGGTTCCCTCTGAACCTCAGTGCGAGTGACCAAGGACTGGCATAGGTTGCCCAAGGAAGTGGTAGAGTCTCAATTTTTGGGGGTACACCAAAGCCATCAGGACACAGTAATGGTCAACCAGTTCTGGTGGTCTTGCTGGAGTGGGGGATTAGACCAGACAACCTCCAGAGGTCCCTCCCAACCTCAACCCTTCTGTGATTTGTCCCAAAGCCTTTGAACATTGAAGACACAATATACAGGGGACAAAGGCAGGTGCAGAAACACAGCATTCAGTGGCAATGGTGTTCAGGAGTTGCCATCCATCAAGGAGCACAAACCCCAACTCACATGTCTCCTTCCCTAGGCAAGGATCTTGAGCAGTGCTTTTGAACACAGGCAAGCAAGAAAATAGGGACACAATCATAATCCAGGTGGTGGGGCCCTGGTGACACTGATGAGGGTGATGCTGATCAGGAGAAGCTCTGCAGGAGCAGGGAGTAGTCAGGAAGATGCGTGCGTGGTCTCATCAAGCTTGCTGTCTTCTTTACTCTCTCCAAGCACATATCCCAACCCATGAGGCTGCAATTAAGAATTTTATTAGGTTTAAATGCCAGCCAGCTGCTCTCCTCCTAGGCTGGGCTTTCTGGCAGCTGCAGAATTGGACCCTGGATTCCTGTTGACTGCAGTTGGAACCTTTTCCCACCACAAGTTGTTGTGAAGGCCCAAGGCAAAAATGAGGGATGGAGACCAGGGTGAACACCTGATGGAGGCAGGACTGATGGAGGGAGTTGGGGAGGTGCTAAGAGGGACTAGCTGGAGGTGGCAAGGTGATTGCTGGGGGTCAAGCGATGCCATGGGCTCCACCAAGCTGGGGAGACTAGCGGGTGCTTTGGGATGTGCTGGGTAGGAAGGTTGGGAGGAGTGGGAATCAAAATGCCAAGGAGCGAAAACACTTGGTGCCCACCAGCTGGTGCCACCTGCAGTGCCAAGCCCTGTGTCCCTTGTGTGTTGCAGGAGCCCTCAAGTCCTACCTGCGAGAGCTGCCAGAGCCCCTCATGACATTCGAGCTGTATGAGGAGTGGATCCAGGCCTCCAAGTGAGTCTGGGGCATCTCCCATGTTCCTGCGTGATGTGGGTGGTGGCATCTTGGGTCGCCGTGGATGGTTTGTGACCATGAGTTATTTCTGACATGGCTGACAGCATTTGGGATGTTTCCTCCAGGGTCTGAGAGCCAGGAGGGTTCTCATGATGGTCCTTGAACACAGTGGGTCCCAGCTATGAGGGTGGCCATGATGTCCTCAGCGTGGTCCAGAGCACACTGATGAAGGTGGTTGAGCTCTGACAGCATCTTTTAATAAGCCCTTGGGTGCCAGGTTCTGGTGCTGTCTGGATGAGTGTGCAGACTCTGGGGGGACCGCTGGCCAAGGGAACTCCCACATGTGTTGTTGGTGTGCTCTGCGCCATGGAACCCCCAAACCCATCAGGATTGGGCTGGCTGAAATGGCACCACGGTGCCTCCTCCACTGTGGCAGATGTTTGTGGTAGGAAATGTCAGGCGCAGGGAGGTGGAAGAAGGAGCATCTCCTCGTGGGGTGGGAACCACCTCAGTGGTGCCTGAATGTAGGTCTGACCACATGCCCTTCCTGCCCTGTGAGAGTTGGAGCACGGCAGGGCCGTGGCGATGACTTACCGGAGGGAACAGTCCCTGAATGTGGCACGTCGTGAGCAGGCTGTTGTTTTGGTGGGCTGTTTGCAGTAATTTCCCGTTCCAAAGCAAACATCCCCAAAACACAAACCCTGGGGGGCTGCACAGGGGTGGGGAGAGGACCAGCATCCAACCCGCCACTGAAAAGTCTCCTTCTCGTCTTGGCCAGGTTAGCAGCCTTCAGTATCCAAAGGGGCCTACAAGAAAGCTGGAGCGGGGCTTTGGACAAGGGTCAGTAGCGATAGGATAAGGGAGAATGGCTTTAACCTGCTAGAGGGGAGACAGAGATGAGATCTCAGGCAGAAGCTCTTCTCTTCACAGGGTGCCCAGAGAAGCTGTGGCTGCCCCATCCCTGGCAGTGTTCAAGGCCAGGTTGGACACAGGGGCTTGGAGCAACCTGCTCTAGTGGAAGGTGTCCCTGCCTGTGGCAGGGGTTGGAGCGGGATGAGATTTAATGTCCCTTCAACCCAAACCATTCTATGAGTCCATGATGATTCTCTATGACAGTGGTGGCAGCCTGAGGGTTTCACAGGCTCCCTATGGGGCAGGGCTGTGGGGTTGAAACCCCAGACTGGGTGGGATGAGAGGTAACTTTCTCACCAACCTCCCCACAGCATCCCGGAGCAGGAGAAGCGGCTGCAGGCTCTCTGGAACACCTGCGAGAAACTGCCCAAAGCCAACTACAACAACATCAGGTGAGCCTGGGGCCAGCGGGGTGCGGGGAGGCGACGGTGGAAATGTGGCTCTGATACACCTGCATGGCTCCGATTTCCAGGTACGTGATTAAATTCCTGGCCAAGCTGACCGAGTACCAGGACATGAATAAAATGACACCGAGCAACGTGGCCATCGTGCTGGGGCCCAACCTCCTCTGGCCGCAGGCGGACAGGTAAAGTATCTGGGTGGAAAGTGACCATGCCAGAGGGATGCTGGGGAAAGGGTTGACAGGGCGCCTGGGTCCAAAACCCTGCTGGGAGTAAGGCTGGACTGCAGTGGGGTGCTGAGCCGCTGCCTGCTGCCCTGCAGGAACATGACAGAGATGATGACAACTGTCTCGCTGCAGATCGTGGGCATCATCGAGCCGCTCATCCAGCATGCCGACTGGTTCTTCCCTGGAGGTAGGCTGTGCCCCATGGTTGTGGCGGGGTGGGATGGGCTTTGTGAGATCTCACAGTCCTCCCTGGCAGTGGGTGCTGAGTTCC